CAGCAGTTCTCTTAAGGGCATCTGCAGCTCTAATTTTGGTTGTTTCCTGAGTTTTCTCACATACAGCAACATAATAAAACTTCAGTACTGAAGACAAAACTTGCCTTTTTTTTTAAACAATGCCCTATTTTAAAAGTGCTTAAATATGCTGGTTATTAAATTGACTTCTGAGATATCAAAATTCATACAGCTATGTATGTAACAAAAGTTTTTTGTGTGTGCATAAAGCAAACTGCAATCATTGAACTAATGAAAGCAGAAAAATCCTTAAGTCTTGTTGATGCTCACAAAGTATATAATTTAGCTTGAAGCAAACACTTGCTTACAAATCTCTGAACATAATAGAAAATGGAGCTAATCATTGGATAAAGCTGGGTTGAGTCTATAAATGCCTAAACAGCAATCTTTCGTTCTGTGAAAGAAGAAAAAAGACAATGACACTGATTTGTAATTGGAGGTTAAGGAGTGCTGCAGAGCCTGTTAAGGTAGCTTCATTTCAATGGATAGACTAATTTTCCAGGTTTTTCTCTAGTTAAGAGCATCTGAAATTCTTAAGCAGAACTTAAATCACATTTCTGAATAAAAGTTCCCCCTTCCCCTTTCCTGGAATAAAAGGTGCTATTATGGCTTTAAGGCTTTTTTCTGCTCACTACTCAAGTACCTCTGACCATGCAGTCATTAACTACATAGTAAATTAAATATTATCACTGATGGCAGTGAGGTGGTGGTAAGATGGCTAACTTAAGGACCTAACTGAATCAGAGCAGGGAAGGTGAGAAATGAAATCAGGCAGTTTAGAAATATGTTACTTTGCCATAAAGCTAGAACATACCAGTACTTGAAAATTTAATTTTTGATTACTTAATGCTGAAAAAATAATTTAAAAAAATTAATGGAATCTGATAATTTGTTGCTCATTGTAAACAACTGTATGTAAAAATGAATTCTCTGAGTTTGAATGTAGTTGATGACTATCCTTGCTCAAGCTGTTAAACTGTGTTTCGCTGCATGTGCTACTACAGAAAGCATGGCAATTCTCTCCTCGTGTCTTACGCAGCCGGCAGTGTTGGAACACCTAGATACAAACATTTTCAACCATGGTTAAAATGATACTTGTCTATCTTAGAGGGCAGGTGCAAAACAGTTGGCTATATTAAATGCATGTGGATAAAACTTATGTAGTTAAGTTTGATTTAAAATATCTGGAAAAGGTCATTCACTTTTGCTGTCTAAAATATAGCATGCCAACCTGAATCAAGAAAACAAAATGCTGAAGATAAACTGCCAAGTAAAGCATAAAACAAAAGGATTGTCGTGAAAACTCAAGTAGCCTTTTCAGAACTTGTGTAAAACTAAATATCTGCAATAGTCATGTTTAAAATAATTTAGCCATTTTGCAATGTCTGCAAGTTTGCTGCTGCAAACACGTGTCAAAGATTTTTGCAGGCTAGCTGGTTCAAAAGCAGTGGCACTTTCTCCATCTGTTTCACTTATTTTTATCACCCTCCTTTTCCTCACCTGCTGTGAATTTTCAGACTATACAAGGAAAGGTCTATTGGTAATGGGTTTGCTCCGCTGCTAGGAGGTATCGCGAGTCTGAGTTAAAATGTCCTGAACTGAGTAAAGTGGATCCATGTACACGTACATTATTAGCTAAGGCTCTGCTTAAGACATTCTTTCAATACAGTGATCTAGCATTTAATTTTTCTTTCTTACCTGTACTGTCCTCAGTGAAGATTTTAAGGAGCCAGTTCTATGCAGGGGGGACTTTGAATTTGCACGAACTATGTCTAAGCGAGACTGATAGTCTGGTGGATAAAGTGAGCTCCGAAAAACCTGTTGAAATGAAGAAAGCTGTGACTGGTGTGCCACAATACCACTTGCAAGCTAACCATCAGCAAGGCTGAAGCTAACAAAAAAGCAGCATTGGACAGTTAAACCTGCTCTAGAGCTATACATCAACTGTAGTTTGGATTGATCACTTTTAGCTGAATATGTTTACTCAGCCTGGGATGTAGCAACACACATAGTCAAAGTAAACATTCTTCAGAGATCTTGAGGGGGTGATTTACGAGTGGAAAACTGCAATGGTTTCCCACCAACATATGTAGGTGAGTTTGAGGCTAACCTAGAGGTATGAACCCCGACAACTCCCTTCAGGCTCTCCGTTTCTTGGAGAGATGAACTCTTAGCCCCTTGACAAGCAAAACGTTGCTGTCAGTCACAGTTGCATCAGAGGAATTTTATCTGAAATGTTCAGAAGATGTGCAGCTCAAGAAAAAGAATTGTGAAAACCCTTAGGATATAGGGTAGACAGTAGTATCCATTATATTTGCAAGTTCTTTCCAATAGCCAAAAAGAGTAAATATAGGATTAAGGGCCTGAAAATAATACAACTATTCATGCAAGATGTTATTAATAAGTCAAGGAAAATGCTGGAATTATGGTCAGTCAGTTTTTTAATGGAAAGTAAATATTGTCAAAATAACAGGAAATTTAAAGTGAGATTAGAAATTTCATTGTGAAAGATAAAGTACTGACTTAAAGAATATTTTTTAATTGGTGCCACATGACATTTTAGTTATGAAACTAGAGTAGTACAAAATTGCCATGGCATAGTTTAAATGAAGTAAAAATACCAAGTAGTCTCAAATGTGACTGTCACTGAAGAATCACGATTTTATGTGTCTTGTGCTAACTGAATACTGCCATCCTTGGTCCTGAGCTATGTCACGGAAAAAATAAAATTAGGACTGATAAGGTTTACAAAAAAAAAAAAAAAGACTCAGAATAAAAAGAAGAAAGAGATTTTTTATTAATTTAGAGCAGTCTAAGATTTTCTCTTCCTGTGCATCTTTACAGCAAGATTCACTGCAGAGGTGTTCTTTAAGAACTATGATTAGTTGCGCTTGGAGTGGCTGTTAAGTCTCTTATCTGTATTTTGTGGCAAAGGTTAGATTGCCACTGCAGTTCTCTGTTTTTAAAATCTCTGAGTTTATAAACGTGCACACTTCTGCTGGCGAAGTGCAAAAAAGGGCTTGGTATACATAAGAAGTTTGTTCTGGGAACCTGAAACCAATGTGCCATTTTCTGCCTGGGACGTGTCTATCCCTAAAGTGTGAAAACTCTTTTCATGTAGTAAGTAAATTGAAAAGCAAATCTTAATCACTCTTACCTCTAAATCTTCATTTTCATCAATATTTTGGATATTTTGGTAGGCTGCAGTATATATCTCTAAAGCTTTCCCATGGAATAACATTTCAATAGTTACAAATTCAGAAAATATGTTCTAAAAGCAAGTGAAAACAAAGGCTTTCTTAATGCAGTAAAGTACATTTCCACTTCAAATACAAGAAATTACAGAATTCTGTAATTGGTGTTTATATGACTGCACAATACCTAGTTCAAGTAGTTGGACGTGACTTTTAGAAATTAAACATAAATGCTGGCTGGGCTGTCACTTATGCAGTTGTCATTTCTTACTAAATTCTAAGTAAATGCTTGAAGACCGAAGAAGAGACTCATTAGGAGTAAATAAAATGTCATGCTGAAAACTCACCCAATATTCCCTGATATAGAATCATTGAATGGTTTGGGTTGGAACGGACCTTAAAGATCATTGAGTTCCAACGCCCCTGCCATGGGCAGGGACACCTTCCACTAGACCAGGTTGCTCAAAGCCTCATCCAGACTAGCTTTGAACTAATATGTACTCACAAGATGTAGTCAGTGAATTTTTGCTTTATTGATGGCAATCTTTTTTAACAGGTTGGGGATAAATTATTTGTAAATTCTATACATATCTATAATTCCCCAATAATTATATATTTTATAAAACAAAATTTAAAAAAATACTTAATTATGACATCTTCAGAACTCACAATCTTTTTCATACTACTGTTAACATCAAGTACTGGTTGGTTTGGTTGGGTTTTTCAACCATCTTTCATTCTTTCCTATTTAGTCTGCAGGTTTTTTTCCCCCCAATAAGAAAAGAATCTCACTTCAGCAATTTTATAATTAAATTTAAGATCACATAATGTAAGTGTTTTTCAGACACTATAGGCTTTGGGACTTAAGCCACTAAATGTTTGACATTAAGAGAGAAATGAAAGCTTTGATTACTTGCAGTCACTAAGCATTTGGTGCTTTTTGCATCAGTAAAACTTTTACCTGCCGTAATCGACACAGATTTCAGCATGGATAAATATATTATTTACTCATTACTATTTCTGTTAATTTGCTGATATTCATCCACATATATCATTCCACTAACAAATGCAGTCACCAGTGAAGTATAATACAGCAACTGTTGGAAGGTGCAGATTGTAAACAATCTGACACAGGAGAATTCTGAATTCAATAAACTGTTAAGAGTAGTGAACTAATTTTTAATTCCAAAGCTCATATTTGGATTACAAAATATTCATGAATACCACAAGATTTCTATTTATGTACGCTTAAATTAATACTAAATGTTCGTAATCTTGCCAAAGAGTAACCATAGTAAATTATGAAGATGAAACTTGATGTCATATACTGAAATGTGAACACACTTACTTTTATGTCCTTTATTTTCTGTTTCTCAAAATTATCAATGGTTTCCTCTAATTGCCGAGTTGTTCGAGTTGCATCCAGTGAAGCTCTCTGCAATTCAGTTTCAGCCTGGTGAAGTAACACAAAGGTGAAATTAATCCTATATTTGATACAAAGATATTTGCTCAAATTGCCATGAAAAGATTTAAGTCTGGGTTTTCAATACAATACGTATCTGTGTTACTGTATTTGTAAATTTGTTTGTAGCTTAAGAAAAAGATGCCTTCTACACCACTGTGACTATGATCTGAAACATGGAGAATGTCTAGTTGTAGCCAACTGAGAAATTCCCACTGCCCTAATCCCTTTTCTGTAATACTCCTCTGCTAATTCCACTGAACCAGCCCTGACAGTCCACTGACACAGTGACTGGGTTCAGGGAATTAACCCTTCAGAAAAGTCAGGGGTTTTTCTAAGCTGGTGCAAAGGGGAGGGCAGGAGTGCACAGGCCAGACTGGTGGATGAGTGGAAAAGATTCCTCCTTTGTTTTCAAGTGCAAATCAAACTCCTGGGTCTAGAATGAATCTTTTCCAGTGTCATGTGCTGAACCTCATCTTACTGAGTTTTTATAAATTATTTAAACAGACAGTAGACTAGCATCTGGAACTAATGCTCTTCTCCCATAAGTCTCTCAATCAGCAGACTAAATATAATTTTTAGATCCAAAAGCATTCTAGGTATTTTATATTTTTAGTTTTTTTATATTATTAAAATATTTTATTAAAAAAATCTTCAACAGAGCACCAGGAAGGGGACACACCAACCAACCCCTAATGCATAAAGACACCATTTTTCTTATTTTGTTACTACAAAAAGCATTTTACATACGTATTTTATTTAGATATAACTATGAACTGTACAAAAATGCACACTACCATTTAAATAAAGATCTTGAAGCTATTCTGGTTAAGTAAAATCGGAAAACTCTGTACTATTACAAAATAATGATGTAAAGATGTAAGAGCTTGCACTTGAAGACTGCAAAATTTGGGTCTAAACTTACTTTATTTTCCATACATCACTGGTCAAACATCATAGACTAGTCAAGACAGTATTTACTTACAGGCTCTTGTCAATGAGTATCATCAGGAATATATTCTGTCCTGGGATTTGGAAATAGTAGATGGACCAAGTAATTGTATGCTACAATCAAGACATGGGATTCTTCCCATTTCTACAACACTGCAACTTAGAGAGGAATTTTTTTTTTTTTTAAATGGAAATACAAACCACAGGCCCATTCCCATGATCTAGTTTTTAGTGTTATATGTGTATGGAAACCTAATGCATATGGCAGGGTCTATCACTTCTTTTTCTTTGATTAAAATCTGGTAACCTTATATTGCAGGATTATCAACTTGAAACAATCTCCTCACAAAAAACAATTTAAAGTCATAGAAGCAATTCTGCTGTTACTGGGCAAACAAAATTGGTCATGATCTTTAGCAGTAAACAACATCACATGTTCACCTCCCTTTCCTGATTTTACACAGGAGGGAAAATCAATAAGAAAAGACATTTTCTGTATTCTCAATTATTATAATCAGTCACTCTCTGTAAATTAAGGCAGCTGTTATGAGTAAGCAGCCATTACACATACAAATACCATGTGTTATTTCTGTGATAACCAAATATATCTCTTCAATCCATCTTAAACAGAATGGCTAGATCTTGTGTGCAGATGCTTTGGGAAAGGAATTTTGTTTGTTGTGGAGCGAAATGTCTGAACTTGCAGAACCTGCAGAGTTTGCACAACAGCAGTTTAGTATTTTCTCTTCTGAAGCACTCACCTGTGACTGGAAATATTGGTAAAGGAAGAAATGGCAAAATAACAGTCAATATTCATAAACGTATCTGTTTTCACTTCTACTTTTAATATATTGTGAAGTATTTACCTCAGATACTTCAAAACTTCTGTATACTTCAAGGGTGCTATTACTAAGATGTCTGTAAGACATTACTTACAGTTTGTTATAGCTTTGTCAGAATTCAAGTATCCAAGCCAAAATATTTCAGGACAGCTCTTTGTCTTGGACTGAGGGTTTTTTTTTTTAAAAACATAAAAAATAAAAAAAAAAAAATCAGACAACCTAGGTAGACCATTTCAGAAAAAACCCATTTTTTTAATTTTAAAAAATGCATTTTTATATTTTAAAAAAACCAATCTGTTAAGGTTTTCTTTTCAAAGCTCCAAGGTTTTATAAGATGGACTTGAAATCTGGGAGCGAGTACAGATCCTTTGCTATCTGTGGCCAAAGTTGTTAGCTGCTGAAACATCACAATTGCTCAAGAACAAAAGAACCACTGCTGGAGCCTATGCTATTATCAGTGAACATGGTGAAGCCTCTCTCAGACAAAAGCTGACCTGCACACATCCTCAAAAGCAAATGAATGTATTCCTGCTCCCGATAGTTCTTAGGCATTTTGTGCAGATCACTTTAAAATGCAAAAATGTAGCATTTGGTGCCTTTGGCCATATGCAAAACCAGACTGTACTGAGATTTAATAACTCTACATGCAAGCTCTTAAGTACAGAAAATGCAGGTGTTACAAGAAGCTGGGACACAGAAGGATATTTGTGAGTAGCTTAGCAAAGAGACAAGAAGAAACAAGCTAGGGTGCCATGAAATCAACTGGGAATTAGCACAAGAGGGAAAAAATGGGACCAGTCTACCTTTGGGGACAACCGCTTACTGTCCTTATTTACTCCCTTAATTCTAATGGAAGAGAACTGTGCGTCACAGCTCAAATTCTAACCCTACAGCTGACATAATGTGTCTTTATTACATCAGGAACTCTGGTTAGTCATCACTTGATTTAACTGATTTGATTATTATTAAGTGGGAATTCTTTGGCAGAGATAAATATAAACTTTAATTCTCCTGGATGGGTTTTGACCATCACAATCATTTTCTCTCTTTCTGCAGTCCCATGCATCAGTCACTAGAAACTTTTCACGCTTCAACTCACGGTTGGAGGGAACTCATACCCTATCTAGGTACAACAAAGCACAACAACTACCAAAATGACCGTGAGAAAAACAATAAAACAAAAGATCCACAAAAGTAAGAAAGGAGGTGTCTCATTACAAATATTTTCCAAAAACTCCAAATTCCCATAGATGCAATCTATGCCTATCTCTCTTACACAAATGTATCAAAAACTTCATAGGTTTTTTTTCCACTCAAAAAGGAAGTGAGTAACAAAGTAGCTATTATAAGCTGTAGCTCATCATAAAGTTTAAGAAAAGATTCAACGTCAACACAGGAAGCACTCCCTCTAAAGAGCATTCTTCTCTTACTACTTTCTAAAGGCAACAGTTTAATTCCCGAGAAATTTTAAAAATATTTCTTATAGCCACTAGAAATGCAGGATACAATAATGTGTCGATCTGATGGATTCCGCTGACGTGTCTTTTCCAGTTGAGATAGTTGCTTGGCTTCTCGGTTCTTTGCTGTTAAAGTTGCTTTAAGATCATCCTGAAAATACAATGTTTTAGACATGTTTGAAATAGATCTAGGATAATACAAAATGCACTTTTCTTCAAACATGCATTGCCTAGAAAACCTGACCAAAACTTCTGCTTTAAGCAAAACCAGATTTTGCTGATCTTATCCTGTTAAATGATCCCATGAATGAGAAGTCAATGGGGACCAAGAGAGTTTAGCACCTTGCACAACTCTCTGTAACACACACTGTAATTTAAAATGTGGGGGAAAAAAGAAAAGGATATTTACAGCTTTTCATGAAAAGTACAATAGATGGTCAAAAGCTGAGATCTCCAAAGCAGTAAGAGGACAGGCCCATTCCTGGCTTAGCAATGGAATAAAGGCGGCATTTAGAACTGAAAAGTGGCATCAAATAAACCAGTAAGAAAAAACCAAAACAGGCAGCCATCAGTACCAATCCGAAGTTATGAGGAACACAAAACTGCTACACAGAGCATAAGGTGCCATAGAAAATCCATGGCTGAAAGGGCTGAATGGCATATTTATAATGCAGTTAATCAGGTATTTAAATACATTTGGAACAAAATACATCATAGTAATGAGGTATCTGGAAAAGATGAAACATTGATATATTTTTGTTCTTCATTTCCAAGGGACAAATAAGGTGTACTTCTAGGAAGATCTGTGACAATTTAAGAATGCTAACATACCACTCGCAAATCCTTGTTGGTGCTATAAATCTGTGTTTTGCAAGTAGTTTGGCATACATGGAATCTAAAATTATCAGTCAGATATTTATCACTCATTGACCCTGGTATGGAAAATTACATTAATTCTGATGGCTCTAATTTAAAGGAGCAGCACCTTAGAACAAGCAGAAATACAGCCCAAAGGAATCAGTCTTTACAAAATCTGAGGCATAAGTTGGGCATGCATTTCAAACCATCATTTCCTCTAAAAAGAGCAGTTCCCATCTGGCTACCACTCCAGAATGGAGTAGATTAAAGCTATTAAAAACTACCATCTTGGGAAGTTGTCTGTGCTCCTTCCCTGTATTTCATAATTTTAACATGGTTGTAGGTCTCCTTCACCCAGAAAGACATGCAACCAAGAATGTGTTTCTTTCCAAAGTTCTGTGTAGGGGAACGATCCTGTGACCAGATCACTAGTCAGAGACAAGCACAAGCGTGCCACATGTCAAAGTGCTGTTTCTTCAATAATGACTCTGCACATGAGGTCAGGATCAAAACGAACAGTTTCTTCTTTGTTTCTATCCTTACTGTCTGTTTGTATGTCCTTGTGTATATGGCTGTCATTTTGCTTCATCTTTAGGGACACAGCTGGTTTCTGATAACAAAAACAACTGCATCTTTAGCCCATCAAAACTAATTTCATTGCTGTTCTTTCAAAATGGAATTTACAACACCTCAAATCTGAAAGACAGCTGGAAAAGACTCTCTCCTTTATGAAAATGATGCAGCTGGAAGAAAAGGAATAATAGAAAAAACTTTTTTCATGGTTTACATTTTAAATATTAAAGGTAGAAAAAGAGAAGAGAAAAATATTTATTTTTGCCATAGAACAAAGCAGTTTTGTATCTAATGGTCACAGCTGAATGTTTAGTGTTATTTAATGACTGAGCCCTGTTAACAGCACTTTCTAGGCCCGTTTAAAACAGTCAATCAGATTTAACGTTGTGGCTGAAAGAGTTCTCTGACTTTCATGTGAAGTATACTTGAGAATGCTAAAGAAACCACTACAGTTACCATTATAAAATTCAGTATTCTTTTTTCTAGCGCATAGTGACTCTGGAAATACCTACAGGGACTGCACTGTTCCCTTCTCTACCTCTGTTCTCTGTAGCAACAACAGCCAAACATACTTCTCTGTGCCAGCCAAAGCCTGACAAAGATTTGGTGCTACTGTGGCTGTAGTGGCAGAGCTACATACAAGTTTTGGATGTAAAAAGATACGGCACAGTTACACACATATTTTGTCTAGGATGTTGAAAAACTGAAAAGGGTGCAGAAAAAAAAACATTAAAACATAAAAAAAATTACTGAAAAGCTGGGGAAAATGCCATTATGGTGAAAGAATTAAGGTTTTACTAGCATCTAAATACCTTCATCCAGGAAAAACAGAGCATCACAGAGCTCTTTAATCTCAGTGGAACATATAACAAGAACCAAAGATTAGGTGAAATATTTCATTTAAAACAAACCACCACAAACATGAACTGATCACTAACTACCGCAAACTACATTCCCCTCCAGCATCTTCAGACCAAGATTTGATGTGTTTTTAGAAAACATGCTTTAATTACACACAAGGAGAAATGGAATGGAATATAATAGCCAGTGAGATAAAGGACAGATACAGAGAACATAAAATTACTAAAAGCTTTGAACTATGAATTCAAGTCACACATAAGAACTCTGGTCAGCCATCTAATTTCAAACCATACAGAAGTACAGCTACAGTCCATCCACCAGACAATGAGCTGGCAGATCCTCATCACTGTACTGTTACCTGCTTCAGGCACTGAAGTTATTAAAGAAAACCAGTCCTTTCTTCTGCAGGTGGATCACCTTGGTTTTATGATGTCCTGTTTTATATGAAGAAAAGGAACCAGGAACAGAGTTGCCAAAAAGCATAAAAGTGAAAACTAGTATATAGAACAATGAAACAGAAAGAAATCCTGAAATCCTACATTTAAGCTGCATTACGGAACAGGAATATTACACTAGCTTACACTGAAGCTGCCAAATCCTACTCTAGAGAGCTGCTCGGCACAGTAAACCAAGACATGTGAATGAAACAATTTTATTGCTTTAGCAGTTAAAGGACAACACTATTATGATTGACTTGGGCCTCTTTAAACCATTTAGTATCACAGGACCTTAATGTCTTACCCCCCAGAAATAGCAACAGTTATTTTTAGATACAGCACAGAACCAGTCTGTGTACACCCTGAAACTGATCCGGTAAGTAGCAGTGAGAACATCCCCTTAATAAAAACTGCTATATTGACATGTTCTGCCTGGTTTTACTTAATCAGCTAATGTAATTACAGGTAAAGCAGTCCTACAGCTAGGACCCTGTGCTAGCTTTACATGAGTGACAAACCTTCATTTTTCACTAAAAATGTCACAGTGTTTAGAGTTGATAACTGAAGACCAGACAGCTGAAGTTTTAACCAAGGTTTACTGTAACAGGCAAGGGGGAAAAAAAAATAAAAAATTTAATGGCCTGCATCTTTAGTGAAGTCTCTCTTAGTTCAAAGGTATATTGATAAAATAGTTAATTCCATCTACAGTTTAAGAACGCTCTTGTACTCACTGTAGCTAAGATAAATATTATGTAATGCTTTCTGGCATTCTGAATGGCAAAGAAAACAGGAAATGCCATTCACTGTGGCAAGGGATGACCTGGCTTCGGTTGCTTCTGTCCTCAGCATTTACTGGCTATCAGTGGCAATGCACCTCAAGACAGGATCTTCAGCACTTCGGAGCACTGCTGTACTGCTCTGTGTCTCTTCAGCAACGCTATTGCCACAAACACATGAAACTTGTCTTCCACCCTGAACATTTATATTGTATAGAACACTCAATCAGTTCCAGGTCTCACAAACTGGGTTTCAGGGTGACTATTAAGATACCAAATTCTAGGATACAGGCACTATAGTCTACAACTCTGCTAAAGACTACCACACGGAGTACCACTCAAGTACAAGATGCATTTCCTTCATCATTGTTTCTCTAACAACCACGTGTGATAGCTGTGCAGTAAGTTCTAAACACTGTACTCGGTTCTTCACTGTATTGGAAAGATACAAGAACAAACCCAAGTGAAAAATGCTAGTTTGAGATGCAATGCCACACTGTACTCAATCATGATGAACACACTGTAAGATTTTTGTATGTAAAATACCATCAAATAATGATAATTTTACTTTTTGATTTAATTAGATTATGATACAGATATACAGATCAATTACAGTTTTGAATTTACAGGATTAAGGTATCCCCTATGTAATATACAAGTTTCACAAAGAACTACTTTCATCCCATAAACTAGTATCTGTTTATTAACATTTACTTGCTCAAGCTTATCCCTCCTGGAGGAAAGAAATTTACAGATATTTTGTGGGAATATTTCAAACCCCTATACACACTGTTTCTAGAATACATTGAATGAAGAGATCTCAGTTTTTTTGTGTATCTTCAGGTCATCCTGATGACTTTGCAGGACAGAGGGATTCAGGCCACTACCTAATTATCAGTTTCAAAAAGTGTCTTCTACATTATGAACTTCAATGTGGAATGCAATTCTAAATTAGAAAAGCTGTTAAAAGCAGCATATAGATGACTAAGAGCCAAATGCATTATATGTAATTCACCTTTTGGAACTCTGAATAATAATAATTTAAAAAAGAATGACATTATTTATAAATAAAAACATCCTAAATTTGCACTATCCATGGAGTTTCACACTACCTACAATGCTTTTTTTAAGCATTTACTTGTGCTCCAAGTGTCTGAATATCCTTGTCTTCACATTAATGCTTTTTCCTCCATCATATATACAGCTTCGATTCAGATGTATTACTATAGAATTTAGTTAGACTGATTACTGCAACATGAAAACTTAGAAGCAGTCCCCCTCATAAAGCAGAAGTTTTCAACTGAGTGGCCAGACCACCAAAATGTACCTTGTGATAAAACAGACGTTTAACCTACCCTTTTAAGTTTCACTATAGTCCCGTAACTTTTCAGAGGCGCAACAACCTTGGCTTCAAGCCTGTCAACCTACAAAAGAAACCACAAGGTCACTAAAATAATCCACATCTATGGTATACAGAAACAGGAAACAATTAATTTACTCATGAGTCATCTTATAAGGAATTTAGTCCACATAGGTGGAAAATATAGTGGGATGGAGGCTTTAGAAATATTGCAAAAACTAGAGCCAATTAAAATAACCAGTAAATCACTTGTATTTTGAGGAGCTCAAGCTGATTTCTAGTGGAATTCTTTTTTTCTTCATTGGCAATACAACAGGATTAATAAAACATGGAGATTCTAACAACCGAGTACTAAATACATCAAACTGCATCTTGGAGATCTGCAGCTTTCTATCTACAGTTAAAGATCAATGTATTTGCTCTACACTTGTTGATAGATTATGGACTAAGCTATTTTTGCTATCACACATACTGCAAGAAATGTGACACTTCTTAAAAATAATGGAAGCAGCATTGTAGGTACTGAAAACATTAATACCAACAACGGGTTGTGTAAAATGCATGAATGCTCTCACAGATGAGTACATGTGAATTTTTGTTTCAGTTCTCCTCGTCAGAAAAACAGTCACATATGGTCAGACAGGCAATAAGATAAGACCAGCCTGCTTATCAAAATGGACAGTACTGCTTGAGTGGCCACAGCATAAGCTGCTGCTGATGACTTTGGGCCAGTGAGTCATCTGGCTCATCGCTGTTATGTCCGAACTGGGACAAGGTGCGTACCTCTAGTAGGAAGGGACAGACATTACACTCCCCTCTAAACTGGCAGTCACCAGTCAGACAAAATCTATGTCAACTGAGCAAATATTTCTCCTTTACTACACTCTACCAGTGCGCTGTCAAACAATTTCACTTCAACTACCACTAGAATAGAATGGAATAGGGCAGTGAGGCTCTACATGAAGCACACGATGTAGACATACCAAATAACCTGCCCGTCTGGCTTACTTATCCTTCCATGTTGTGGAAGTACCTCACACCTCAGTATTTACATATCTAAAACTGCAGCCGACGACCAGAAATCAATAAAAATTAGCCTTATAAGCTAATTTTCTCTTGCCCACATGGACAATATATATGAAAACTTAATTAACCTGATGTCCAAAAGAAATAAAGCTGAGATGATCTATTTGGTTTTCATGAGCAAAGGAGAACTTGATCTAAAGGCTAAAAGCTTCTCTTCTGCTTCTTCTGCCTTTTCTCTTTCAAAGGACAGTGGTGGTTTGGGGACAGGCATGGTAGGAGGATGTAAGCCAAATGTGAATTTTTAAAAGCACACTTAAAAATCCAAATAAGCAAAACTCAAGTTGTTACATAGGTACCTCAAAATTACAGATTCATAGCTTAAAGGTGAAAAGGGACAGAGAGATGATGCAGTCTGAATTCACCTACACCTTTGGCCATAATATAAATTTACCCTATTAACCGAGGGATAAATTGCTATTATATCAATTGAAGTATAAGCACCTACGTGTGGCTCAGCTGGAGCCAGATGCATAAGAGCTTACGGAAAAAAAAATATCACAGTATCCACGCCCCTGGATTTCTTACTACTTCTTAAAAATCTGTTACATTGTTAAAGATCCATGTGTATTTCTTGTTTTTCAAACCCTCTGCTTAGTAAACTAGATAACCTCATAGATTAACTTCTTTTAAAAATTTTCTTTCTACTTTGTTAATACATAAAGATGACTTGCAATGCTGCTTTTTTTTAAAAAAAATAGTCCTATATGAAAACATGAAGACTGTCAACTACTTTAGTCTCTCTTTTACATTCTAATGGTTCTTACCTTTTCAAAACTATGAATGGGAATTTTCTATGCCCTACAGAAAGAATAGATATGTACTCCAAAAACTAGTTTGAGTACATGTGAATGAATTTATTGTTTCTTAAATCTCAGAGTTTGGAATTATGAATCATAAGTTACAGTTTGACTGGCCCCACACATAGATGTGTAAGTGGCATAAACACCTTTCTTTACACTCTCAGGTCCCATCCCTGGAGGTGTTCAAGGCCAGGCTGGATGGGGTTTTGAACAACCTGGTCTAGTGGAAGATGTCCTTGCCCAGGGCAGGGGGGTTGGAACTCGATGATCTTTAAGGTCCTTTCCAACCCAGACCATTGTATGATTCTACGATCTAGCAGAAAAGTGACTATATTGTCACACATGGTCCAAATTAAGTTTGTACTTCTTGTGTTGACTTAGTAGAAATCTACAGTGGTCCCCAGCAGCACCTCAGAGGGGCTGTGAGGCCAGTAAAGGATTCCAGTTAGTATTCTCTTCTATACTGCTTCTGATAAAAGGCTGAGCAAAAGGAAAATAACTGATTTTACCCCAGCTGCTGCTCTATAACTCAAGTCACAAAACTAAAAGAACACTTTATTAAGCATAAATCATAATCCAAAATCTAAGACCAATAAAAGACTTGCTCTGTCTCAAATTCTGTGAGTGCTCATACGGATAGTTTCCCTAACTTCAACAGGACTAAATGCAGGCAGTTTTCACTAAAGTTATTTTAGCAGAGTATATGATGAATGCTTTGGCAGCCTATCCTCCTCTGCCACTAATATATTTAAAAGTGGTTCCTCCTATGCTTCTCTCATGACTGCTGAGTATGTCTTTTCCCTTTTAATCACAGATAAGTAACTGAAAAGTTCAGATGGCAAACACAACATGTACAGCTTTAATTTTGTACCTCTGCCTGGCGATAATCCTGAAGTCTGGAAAATTCATCTGCAAAGTTTTTCAGTCCAACTTTTAAGTTTGGTGTCTCTGTGGCTGCATATGCATATATTTCATTTACTAGAAGATCTGCTTTGTCTCGTAGTCTGGCAGTTTTACGTACATATCCAGCAAATATTTGGCACAATTCACCAAAATGTTTTTCCACATTTGAAACAGCATCTTGTATTTGTCTAGTCTGATTGTCCCTGGATGCCAACGAAAAATAAGTGAAAAATAAGAAGTGGACAAATGTTTACAACACATACAGAAGAAAAACTATACAATTATACTATTTATAATTTATACATGAATTGGACATCTCATTTGAGTGCAAACCAGAGATCTATTCTTAAAAAGATAATGCTCTAACAGTGTGATGTAATATGTGCTTATTTATGAATAACAAACAAAAAAAACCTGTGATTTATACTTAAAAATAAAGATTCATCTCATTTGAGTGCAAACCAGAGATCTATTCTTAAAAAGATAATGCTCTAACAGTGTGATGTAATATGTGCTTATTTATGAATAACAAACAAAAAAAAACCTGTGATTTATACTTAAAGATTCAATAGAAGAAAACCCAAATCACAAAAATCAGCTTGGAAGTCTTCCTCCTGTGGTTAAGTACTGTTGGTACTACAGTGGTAACACCTACAGGTCTCAAACAAGACTGGGTCATACAGCTTCCTGCAAGAGACTGCAATCTAAACAGACAAGTCAATGGTTGGAGAAATCAGGCAGTAGGGGCAAATCTGTAAAGGTATTAAATGCTCCTAAATTGTGAAAGCTACCAAACTGCAGATAAATATCCCTGAGAATTAAAGAAAAGTGAATGGACAAGTACAGAGGTAAAAAAATCTAAAAACACAGAAAGGGCATTCATTGCACCAACACCAAACTGCAGATAAATATCCCTGAGAATTAAAGAAAAGTGAATGGACAAGTACAGAGGTAAAAAATCTAAAAACACAGAAAGGGCATTAATCGCACCAACAAATTACTTTCTTTCAAATTATACTAATAGAGTTCATTTTTTTTATTTGAACCAAATGCCTGTATGTTTCATTATCAGTGATCTAAATAAGTAATTCTGAATTTTTAATTCGTATATTTCACTTGATATTTTGCTTTCCTGTTCCTACATCATTTGATGGTCCTGCTTTGGTTATGCTTCAGTGATGCTATTAAATCAGTGTCAGAGAATTCATGCCAGCTGTTGTTGATGTGACTCAATCAACTACAGGATAATTTAGCTAACAGTAACTGCCAGATATTGGATCCTGAGAAGTCTCTGTGGTCTACATGAGGTGATTCATGTGAAGTGCTGGAATTCTCAGCAAAAGAATTCAGTGGTACCACTTGTCTTGGTGAGGAACAGAAATTAAAACTTCTTCTTCTTAAGCTATCCTAACTCCAAATGCTGACCATTATTTAAATATTGACTTAATATCACAACACTTGAAAAACTGAAAGAAATTTAATACTTTAAACAACAATTCAGTCCATTCAAATAAAAAACACCTTTCTTCAGGAAAAATAGTTCAAGCCAAAGTTCTGCTGCGGGCAAAAACCTGGTTGCACTGCTTCATGGCAAGCAGTCTAGAACACTGTTCAAGAGAGTTGGTTCAAGAAAAAAAACAAACAAGGGGGTTGCTCAGTCCTCCAGGACATGCTTGAGCATGGCACCATTTGAACAGGAAAGGTTTCACCCCCTCTAGGGGAAAGTGAGAGTCTCATTAAGTATTAATCAATTTGCTTTTCAAAACTAAAACTACCTGATAAAATCGTCAGTCAAAGGTGCACCTCTCCTACTGTACTGGAAGGATTCCGTGTCGGAAAGAGTTCCTCTCCCGGGGGGGAGCCTTAAACACGTTTCTTCACCCACTTTACCGTTCTGATATCACAGTCCTCATATGCAAATATTTAATTTTGGGACACAAACACTACAGTTCCTCAGAAGGAATTTCCTAATTCCTTGTGACCGCTTAGAGGCGGCCACAAATTTACCAGCGAGAGGCCCCATTTCATCGGCAACCCTTCCCTCCACCTCCGCCCGGCACCGAGCCTGGGAAAGTTTTACGGCCTCGACCTGAGGAAAACGGAGGCGGACCTCCGCCCCCGGGGAGGTTCGCTGCCATGAGGGGGGCCGGGCCCGCACCCCCCAGGCCCTCACCCCGCTCCCTAGGTGCCCGAACCGAATCAGGGCCTCCTCCCTGCCCGGCAGGGCCAG